CAAATAAGTGACCTCCTGTGTGGATTTGCAGTGGAGAAAATCACAGAAAACTGAGAAGCCCGTTTTCCGGGACGCCGTCCACTTTTTCTGATCTTTTTAACCACACCCAAACCTAACCGTGTCCTCAAAGGCTTGCAGGATTCCATCCATGCGCATATAGTTCTCCGCATTCCACCCCGCTTGCCGCAGCATTGCCTCAAACAAAACCCAGGCAAACTTGGCTCTTCTGGGATCGAGTATTTGGGCAATCCTCTGGATGTCAAAAATGGCTTCTTTCATCAATAGCAAAATATTGTCAAACAATCTCATGCCCGACGTTTGCAAGGCAGGTCATAGCTAAGTTTGAAATCTGGAAAGAAATACCTCTAATAATGATCGATTGTCTGCTGCTTTGCAACACAATGATCTGACTGCATTCGATATCAAACGTCGGAGAAACGAAGCACTTTGCACTTGAAACAATGCAGCTCTGCAACTCATGATCCATCATGTTTGACGCAGCTCTTTAAGTCACTCTGGCTGCTTCCTGCACGAGCCAGTTCAGACTTCCAACAGAATGGTATATTCAATGTGGAGTGGGGCGGTTGGCAGTCTTCGCCGTAGGTACATGTCCAAGGCCAAGGCGCCTGCTCGCGCGCGGGAAACTTGCAAAGCCAGGGCTGGTGCTGCAGGCGGAGGGCTGAGCTGGCCAGCTGCATCTGCCAGGAGCTGGAGATAACCTCACTCGATTCAAGTGGGCTCGGAATTGGTTGGGCCGGGCGGGGGTGAATTGGGCTTGATGATGGGATGCTTTGATGATGGATAGTTGCTTGCGTGCGTTTGCTTGCGAGCTTGCGTACTTGCTTGCTTGCTTGCTTGCTTGCCTGATTGCCTGCTTGCATGCTTCCCTGCTTGCTTGAATGCTTGCTTGCATGCTTGCTTGTTGTGTTGCTTTCTTGCTTGCTTGCCGTTCTAGCATTCTTGCTTTGTGACTTGCTAGCTTTCTTGCCTGTTTAGTCGGTCGGTTGGGGCTAGCCCACTCGTCGCTTTTTACGGAGGACATCGGTTGAATGATTCCACATTGCCCAGTGGACATGCACTCGTAAAACTCTCCCGCTTTTGAGGAGACAGGTGTGTTCAACAAGCTTCGTCAAGGAGGGGCAAAGCACGGTTGATGTTGAACTGTTGAGTTGAGCAACCCATACTCTTTCACGCTGCATAAACTGCACGTGGAACGGCTTCCGGGCATGGGATGGGTTTCGAATTGCAACACACACCATTCCTTGGCTGTTCACAAGCCGTCATAGATTGTGTCTGTGCAAACATGATTGCTCCCATCCAAAAAAAAAACACATCACGAAGAAGGAGCTAGCCAGAAGGTTTATGATGGCTCCGGGTTCCGGTTTGGTCTCGCTTGGACATGTCTTGCTAGAGTAATCTAGGTATCAGCATTGGGCCCCTACCTGGCAAGCTGAGTCGCGAGCTCCACCTTCCACTTTCTGCCTAACTTGGAGAAAATCATGATTTTTCCCCAGATAGCTAAAAGCTATAGGAGTTCTAACTTCTAATAAAGAGGGGAAAGTGATTTGCGAGATTGATGGGCTAGTGCTAGGGGCGTGCAGTTTGGGGTGCTGGTGTAGGTGCTGAGTGGGTGCTGTTGGAGGTGTGCGGGCGCATCCTTTCAAGATTGACGGTAGGGTGCTAGGGGGCATGCGGTTTGGGGTGCTTGCGCAGGTGATGTTTTGGGGAGTGACGGTGCGCCGCGCATGTTTGCATCTTGATGCAGTTTGGGGCGCTGGTGCTGATGCTGTGGGACACAGTTTGTGGGGAGCTGTTTGAGGTGCTGGTGGCGGTGCGGGCGCATTTTTGCGATATTGACGCTCGGGTGCTATCGGGCATACAGGTGACGGTGCAGGCATCTTTGCATCTTGACGGTAGGGTGCAAGGGGGCATACAGCTTAGGTGATGGTTTGGGATTTTGTTTGGGGTGGGATCCCTTACGGCCAGAGTTGCTTTGTTGTGTGTCACTCATCCGAAATGGGGTCTTGGTGCCCACGCCCGCTCTCTGGACATCTTTCTTTTGGGCAAGAGGCTCGTGGAACTACCTCTCGTCCACGTTGAGTCGGCTCCTGAGAACACATAGCCAGGTTGTTTTGTTCTTCTTATATATATATATATGTATATATATATATATATTATGATTGTTTTGTCAGGTGTATATATATATATGTATATTATAAGAAAGGCACTTACCCAAATGAATCCAAATGGGCATGGGAAATTCTGCCAAACGCCCAGGTTCTTCTGGGACATTTAGATGAAAAAGACGAGTAAGTCCCTTCAAATTGACCAGCGGATAGATTTGCCGGACTCAACTGAGTGGCGGCTTGTATTTGTTGTGACGTCTACGAACAGTTTGTTCGGCCAGCAATACTGCTTTGCTCTGTCATGTTTGGTGCCATGTATATATTGAGTGCGGTCGTCTCCAGCCCAGCGTTGCGGTATGCAAAGTACATGCGTGTTCAATACAAATGCACGAATAGTTCACGTTTTGGCAGCCGTGCGGACATGTAGTTTTCAATACGAAAAGAATGTTCAAAGTGTCTTTGGGTAGCTCTAACATGAGCATGGCAACCCTTCAGTATGGTGACGTAGCAGACTTTTGGCAGCTCCAGCTCCAAATTGCGCAATGTGCGCTTTGGAAGCTTCAAAGTTTGGTAGGCCGCCCCTTCATTAAAAAGAAATCCTTTTCGGACCAAACAATCCAACATAAGAACGCCAATGAGCAAAGGCATCACACTGCAGCAACAGTGGAAGCCCACTCGTGATGCGTTGGACCCATGGGTTCATCATAATTTCACATTCTCCATTCCACTCTTCCAAGCGCCGCAGTTTCTGTCTCGTTCTTACCCCCCCCCCGATCACCTTCGCGTCGGCATGCACTTGTGCTGCCCAAAAATGAGCCCGCCGCTCAGCTGCCGTTTGTATGTGAGCCAAAGAAGCGGGGCGGGGGGGGGAGGGGAGGCATGTCAGGGTGTCTGATAACACATGCTACCGGAACCCCATCCAAATGATGTGCATGTGGTTTCCCTTCCAGAACCTGGAAGAGGCAGAGGAGCGCCCCGAGGCCGCCAGTCCATTGAAATGTCCTATTTGTAGACCAACTCTTGAAACAATAGCCGAAAATAGCAGATGCGTCGAGGCGCCACCTGATTTGTTGCATCTCCATTCGACAAACAGGCTAGATTCACGCTGCAAAGCTCTCAAAGATCTGCCAAACAAAGTGTGGCCCTTGCAGCTTGGAACTTGCCCAAAGGACGCATGGTCACCAAATGTCAGAATCACTTGAGCATGTGCGTATCAACATTGGCATTAACCCGTGCGTATATGATATATATATATATATATATATATATTTGCGGGTGTGCTCAACATTTGGCCAGCATGGATGCATGGCCACCGAAAAATAAAAGCACCCCGCACGGTCACGCAGCCATGCCGGATCCTTGGGCGAGCACTTCTTTGGGTCCGAAGCTCATGCATCAACAAAGCACGCGCGAAAGAAAAAAAAAAAAAGGAAAAAAAAGCCTGACGCCTGACTTGGCTGCTAGCAACCAGTGACCCACGAAGCAACATAGGAACACATGCTAAAGGAAACCTACGAACAATCAACCAGTTTGGAGCTGAAGTGAGCAACGTCCCAGATCATTGGCTGACAGAGATCTCCCGACCTTTCCGCAAGGTCGGATCATACAGCAGCGTCGAAGAGCTGTGATCTTCGACTCTGCCTAAACCTTGCCGCACACATTATATAATGTCTATGACCTGGAAGTAGTCATTGAGGACTTAGTCAGTGGTAGTTTCATCAGGCACCACGTGTTTGCCGAGTTCTGCTGAGGGACAAAACACACACACAGAGACCGACCAAGAGCGGCACACCAATTGAACTTCAGTGGGAGCCACCTCCAAAGTGGACATGAATCCCCACCCAAAGGATGTCCAAAGTGTCCCCAGCGGAATTCAATTCAAGGCGGCTCCTCCAGAAACTCTTCGAAGGAACCCTCAGACTCGACCTCCGTCTCCGAGGATGATTCGCCGTCCATGACATCAGCCATCTCACCCAACCAAGTGCGGCCAACCTTGTGGCCAAATAAGTTAAGGCAACCAAAGCAGGACCTGCGAGTAGGATATGCCGAAAGCATCTCCGCAAATGTCACAAGCTTGCTGTGAGGTCGGTTAGGCTGTTAACACTCTGTCAGTGAGTTGTTCTTGAATGTTATAACCCTGGTAATTGCTCAATGTTGCACAAATGCTTGATTTGCTTGAGCTGTGCGCGCGGCACATGATCAAACTAAATGCACATGTCACACATCGGTTGCCACACGTCTCCCTTCACCATTGCAAGACATGGAATGCCCATTCAATCATTGGACATATATGGACCCATATCCTTTGTGACCCCCTTGCACACAGCACTGCACAGCATGGCCGGTGGAAAGCCAAGTTTCCGCCATGTGAGCTTTTTCATTCTGCCAAATGTAGCGGTATTTAAAAGTGGGGGTGTTCTCCCCACGTATCGGGCAATACTCCTTTCAGATTTCCTCTAAGCACCATCAAAAGAAAAAAAGCAAAAAACTGTTCAAATACACCCCATATGATTCCCCTAACTTTGTCCCTGTGTTGCCTGCAAGCAATGCATTTCTGTGATATCATTATTATTATTATTTAATATATATATGTATATATATGTATTATATATATATATATGTTTCTTTTAATAGATTAAATTGATTATAGTATATATTAATTTTATTATTTATTAATACATCATCATTGCAGATTATGGCAACTCTCACTAAACCAGAAGGACATTTTGTGGACCCATTCCTTCCAGGGCGGACCGGACACTACAGTACCTGCTCGACCTCTCTCACCAGGGATTGAACCATTCATTCAAAAATATCAACCCCCAAACCAGCATGTGCACATAGCCTGAAACCGAGCGAGTTCCAAAAACGCGCCTACGAAGCTGAACTTCCGAAAGACCATCACATTGTCGATGGCTTGTCTCCACAAAACGTGCAGAATGCGGTGCGCACCTCCGTGAGTGCCGGGCAAAAGAGAGATAGAGAGAGAGATAGAGAAAGTGGAGCCCGAAGCAAACAAAAAAGTGGAACCTCAACAGCGCGCAAATGTGATCTTTGGAAGGACACCTTTCCTGTGCATTCATGCAGATTTCCGCTGGACTCATCATGACTAATTGGAGTCTCATTAATGTTGGCCTCACGCCGACCAATCTTTGTCGAGCCCGTTCCTGCCTGTTGATTTGTTTTTCTGCAAGCTGGTGCTTGCGGAAACTCGAACTCTGCAATCGGTATGGGCGAAGTGCGGCATTCACGTCGCCCAATCTATGCTTACCAAGAGCTTCAAAGTTCTTCGCCCAAAGGGGCTCTATATATGTGGGCCTCAAGGACCATGCTGCAAGCTGGAACATGTCTGCTGTCCAAAGCAATCATGATGCCAATCCAACAAACAACAATGGGAGGCATCTCCACAGAAGCGCTCTCAGCAGCATGTTTCGGCTTATACGCAGCATTCGCATGAAGCTCAACACTGAGGCCCAAGCTGACTCGTTTCACTCCCTTTTCCACCTTCTCGTTGGCCGCTTCCATGACAGCCTCAACTTTCTACGCACTGCAGTGTAAGAGCTTCTGGCCAAATCGTTAAACTTAAATGCAGCACACAAAGCAAACATATCCGGCCCTGGTTCCTTGGGAACGAACCTTCATGCGCGAACGGGCCAGAGCTTCGGGTCTTGTGGAAACCAAAGTCAAGCTTGCAGCAATGGTGAGGCTGGTTGGTATGTTTCATCGAGAACGAAGGGACTCGCGTAAGGCTCACGAACCACGGCGTCAGCGTTTGGCCAACACGAGTGCCAATCCGTGCTATCTTCTTCTGTAGGTCTCTACAAAAATCTCCAAAATCGGATCCCTGGATGTTGGTCCCAAGCCAAAAGCAGGCCATATCTTCCCATATCTTCCCATATCTTCCCACTGCAAGCCATGGACTTGCGTTGCTCCATGGGATTTCGGCCACGTTCTCAGGCCGCCGCAGTCTGAAGCTTCTCGCAAGCCAGACCGCTGTGCAGCTCGTCCGCGGTGCAGTGCGGCTCTTGCATCCTTGGGAAACGCCCAAAGCATCCGGCAAAGAGACTCCCATCTCAACTCAAATGGCCATGGGTCAAAATCCCGTAGCCCCCCAATCCCGACTAAAATGGGTGGTGCACCTACCCCAAAATGGCACCATTTGTTTTGACCCACAGCCAAATGTCTGGGTTCAAGTGGGTCATTTGAGGTCTCAAGCCTTGCGAGGTGCAAGAAACCATGGGCTCGCAGCCAATTTCTGTTGGAATGGAGCTTTCGCGCCTCTCATCCACTTTCTCCAGTCTCCCAGTGTTGTTTCTGCAACTAAAACCTGAACTCAAGCACATTGACTAAACCATACTACTCCTGGACATCAAGCCCATTCGGCGTCCCTGTCCAGAATTTCGGTGCTCGACAGCGGCAAGCCTTTGCCATCCGGCTTCCATTGCTGTGAATTTTGAAGACACCCATGCAGGCCATGCCAGCTGCACTCCAGAATGTGTTTAAGCGTTCGTGAAGGACCTCAACTTCACGAAGCTGACGAACTCACCTTTCTTTCAAAGCTGAAGCTAGGAGATCGGTAGAGAAAGACATAACGGACACCTTTCAGCATGGCGAGTCAGGAAATTGCAGGGTGCTGGCCATGAGTGGTTGGGTGTCAAGTCAGTTGACCACTGCATCTCCGGATCTGGGCTTGAAAACGGCTCCTCTTTGGTGGCTTTCGGCTGCGAACGTCTCCCATCCTTTCACTAGTTCAACAAACCATCCTCACCATCTAAAATGAACAAATCGCACTAAACTGTGGTGGACTGTGGGCGACTTGTTTGAGCATATGCGATCATTTTGACGATTTACATTCTTGAGTCTCTTGAGGGATCCCTCTTCCCAACAAGTAGCTCAAAGGCAAGAGCTGGCGCTTTGGGCACGAAAGAAACCGATACCCTTTCCCTCCCCCTTTCGCCTTTTGCTGTCTCAGCTTCTGCTCCCAGACTTGCCACCTCTGCAAGCAGGCAGTGCCTTGCCTCAATCGGTGACAATCGATGGGTACCAAATGCCAGATCGAAGATGCGAAGTCATGGGTCATGCTTGCTACAAACACATGACGCTGCTTCGTTAATCAGGTATCCACAGCTAAACTCAGTATCGGGGCAAGCAAGTGTGCTAGACCCATGAGCCCCTCGCTAACCATTCCGCGACTGCATACCTCTGGGGATCTACCTCTAGTGGAATGAGGTTCTTTCCAAACATCCTGGCCGAGCAGCACCTCTTGCTCAAAGTAGATGCTTCGGAGATCGACGCCTGCGCAATGCATCGGTTCAGCAGAGGTTTCTTCTGGCAGCATTACGCTGCGTCGAAGAAGGGCTGCAAAGTGCCAAAGTTGTTGCTAGTCTGTGAACTTGGCAAATATCCCTAGAGGCTTTAGTCATGTCGGTCTACGCGCTGCATTCCCGCGACGACGCAACCGGGAACCTTTCTGCCTTTGGTTTTGCGTGTCCGCTTCTCCTGAGGAACATGGGCGGACTCCAAATTCTTCAGGTCCCGCGGGGCCAAGAGACGCGGCTGAGTGTTGCTGAGTCCTGGGGCGCTCTGCCTCTGCCAAGTTTGATGGGCAACAGAGCAGTGGCATTGCACTTCAAGCCTTAAAATCCAGGATCTTGGGTAGGGCGTGGACGGCCACTGTCGCTTTCTTAGTATGACTGACAAAGGTTTTTTGCACCGCACGGAGGTCTGCCTCGACTGCGCCATGGTCTGCTTGCGCTTGCGACACGCTTGCCCCGCTTGCGCCTCTGCTTCTCGAAATCGAGATCAAGAAGGCCCGACCAGGACAAGGAAGACGTCGAGCGAACAAAAGTCAAGGAGTCCGTGTCAGTCAGACTAAGCATGTGAAATCACGTGAATTTGGGAGTCCAAGTAAAGGGGTCAGCGAACCAAGCAACACGATGCGAGCCAGAGCGCAGTGGGGCGCAGCCAGATGGCCTCAGTAAAGCACAAGAACGAGAGCAGAAAACGCAGCAAAGAAGAAGATTTGTCCAGCTGCTGAGCCAGAGCAGCCGCGATGTTGCTCGTGGACGTCCTTGCTTTCACGCCAACACCCCCCCCCTCACCCCGCAAATGGACTGTTACAGCAAAAACACCACGGCCTAGTATCAACACGCCTCAACAAAGGTTTTTGAAGCCAATCAAACGCTCACGTATCAGGCCTCATGCACAAGCACAAACAAGGCTTAGTCTAAGTCTATCAGGGCTCATCACTTCGATCGATCGATGGATCGATTGCTCGGATCAAGCAGGTGTCCACCGCCAGTGCGATTGCCATATGCATGTTTCAACCCGGGCAATCGGCTTCCAGCCTCTCAGCACGCCCTGAGGCATTCTTCGGCATGCTGGTGCTCATCAAGATTTGGATTGGCCAGTAAATGAACTCATACTTATACATACATACATTTGGAAGGCCGCCCCAGCGGAGTAGAGTTTGACATCCAGGCTGGAAGACTACTAAGACGCTTTAGGGCGACAGCACGGGACCTACGAAAGTGGCCAAGGCGGCGCGTGCACCATAAACCACAGCAGGCTCGGGCAGCCCGGTCAGCACCACCGCCACCACCGCGCCGCGGACCGGGTCGAATGAGGCGGCCGCCCGGCACCCGAGCAACACCCGCGACTGTTTTCATGTGCTGAAAGCAGCGCGCACAGGGGCAGCACCGGGCGAGCAGTCAGCAGTGCCAACACTTTCGGGTCAAGGTCGGGAAAGAGGCGGGGCCCGTCGCAGCCCTGCTAAACTCAGCGGCTAGATCTTGCGCTGATTATCACGTCATTCGCGCAACAAGGCTCTCTACAGAGGACCTTTCAGCGCCTGCCCGCGCCTTGTAGCTGGCAGGCTTTGTCAATCTCCGTCAGAAGGACGTCGTCCGGAAGTGGCAGCCACGTGGTGAGGAGCTGAATCTGCAAACCCCACCTGGACAGGTCTGCAAACAAACAGCCCAGGCCTTAAGGAGATAACCTAGCAGCAAAGCGGGGTGCTATGACGGCCGGCAAGCAGCTCCAGGCCATGGAGCCATGAGTATCTCACGCAAGGCGCGCGCACACACACACACACCCGCCCGCGCCGACACCCACACACGCACACGCACACGCACACGCACACCGCACACCGCACACCGCACACCGCACACCGCACACCGCACACCGCACACCCACCCACACACACACACACACACCCACCCACCCACCCACCCACCCACCCACCCACCCACCCACCCACCCACCCACCCACCCACGCACGCACGCACGCACGCACGCACGCACGCACGCACGCACGCACGCACGCACCCACACACACACACACAACGCCACGCGCGTGCACGCGAGCACGAAAGCTGTTCTCACACACTCCCACCCACCCGCGCACGCACACGCACAGACGCACACACGCACACGCGCACACGCGCACACAGACACAGACACAGACACAGACACAGACACAGACACAGACACAGACACAGACACAGACACACACACACACACACACGCTCAGACTCACACACAAAAACACAAACACACAAACACACAGACACAGACAGACAGACACACAGACACACAGACACACAGAGACATAGACACACACTCACACACCTTCCCACACACACACACTTAAATGACTCCCAGAGAGAAACATCTGACATTCGAGTGGAAATCATTCGAGTAGGCAATTCGAGTTGAACGAGCCGAGTTGGCGGCTTCACCCTAGATACTTGAAAAGGGGGAACGGAGAAACAACAGGACCAAAAAGACTTTGTATCACAGGCAGGTACGTCAGTCCAGCGTCCGGGATTGATTGCGGGTTCCAATGGTGCGGTCTTCGTTGGGCGAGGCACACCAAAGGAACCGTCGCCCCCCCCCCTGCTCGTTTGTGAATGCTGCAAAAATGGCATCAGGGTAGAACTGATGCTTCCCTGCAGGGGCGAAGTCCCAACGAAAGAGGCAAACAAACCAAAACAAAGCCAAACAGCCCCAGGTTGGGTCTCTGCAAAGTCGGAGGATGACAGGAGGAAGACGCCATTTCTAAACGGGCGAACAGGCGAACAGGAGGAACAAGATGTAGTGCGGAAAAGGGAAAGAGAAGAAAGAGAAGAAAGAGAAGAAAGAGAAGAAAGAAAGAAAGAAAGAAAGAAGGAAAGAAAGAAAGAAAGAAAGAAAGAAAGAAAGAAAGAAAGAAAGAAAGAAAGAGAAGAAAGAAAGAAAGAAAGAAAGAAAGAAAGAAAGAAAGAAAGAGAAGAAAGAAAGAAAGAAAGAAAGAAAGAAAGAAAGAAAGAAAGAAAGAAAGAAAGAAAGAAAGAAAGAAGTAAAGAACAGAAAAAGATAAAGAGAGCAGAGAAAAGAAAAAGAAAAGAGAAAGACACAAGAGAAGAAGAATGCGTATTTTGGGCGACGCAGCCCGGCCAGGAGGAAAAGGAAGGATAAGAAGGGGGACAAGAGAAGAGAAGAGGAGGAGCAGAGAAAAGGAGGGATAGCGTGCGTATTTGCAACCCGCCCGGACAAACGCAGGCACAAAAACCAAAACTCGAAGTAGAGGGCGTCAAATCCCGCGCAGAGCCATGAGGAGGCACATGATACGACGTCAAGCCAAACTGCGTGAGCGGAACGAAGAGAGCGAGCTGGAAGGCAGTCAGGAAGAAGACGACCAGGAGAAAGGCAAACAACTCGAAGACAAACAGGCCATCCCTAAACGGGCGAAAAGAAAGAAGACCAACACGCGGTGAAGGAGAAGCCATCCCCACACGGGCGAAGAGCAAGAGGACAGATACGCCGGTGACAGTGAAGACAAACAACCAACCAAGCGCAAGCAAGCGCAACACAACATCTGTACTGAGGTTGACTGGGACATTAAGACTGAGTTAAGACTGAGGTCACTCTG